AAAGAGAGGCGTTCATCAGGATCTGGGGAGATCTGCAGTTTACACAGTGAGAAGAACAAACTCTTCTGTCTGGAGAGCAAACAGCCTGCGTGTGCGGAGTGCTTTACTTCTCAAAAACATGTCAATCACACAGTCAGACCCATCAGTGAAGCTGTTCCATCATATAAGGCAAGACAGATTTACATCTGAGGATAAAAACATATGGAAGAAATCTCTCGGTAACATTCTGCTCCTATTAGATGAACATATTGCAGAAGTCTCTGGTGTCTCATAGATTTTCCCTTTAAATTCTAGGAGGAGCTGAATACAGCACTGAAAGCTTTACAGAAGAAACGTACACACAGTGAAAACATTAAAGGAGTGTTGGAGAAAACACTTCAACACATCAGGGTGAGGGAAACAGAATCCAGAGTCATTTTCATTACGATCACTGTGGACAGTTATGATTTGCTATGTTTAATATAATAGATTCCAGTTGATTAGTTCTGTAAATGATGAGCAGCGATCTGTTTTATGTCGGTATCTCAGATATGAATGATGTGATTGTGTTGATTGAGACGGTGCTTGAAGTGACTGTGGTTTGATTTCAGTCTCAAACTGAGCACACAGAGCATCAGATTAAACAGCAGTTTGAGAAGCTTCACCAGTTTCTCAGAGACGAAGAAGCAGCTACAATCACTGCACTGAGGGAGGAAGAGGAGCAGAAGAAGCAGATGATGAAGGAGAAGCTGGAGGAGATGAGCAGACACATCTCGGCACTTTCAAACACAATCAAAGACACGGAGGAGATGATGAAAGCCAATGATACCTGCTTTCTAAAGGTCTGACTTGAGATCATCCATTGATTGATTGATGATTGATTGAGTTGTTGATGATCAATGGTGTGTTTGTTCTGCAGGAGTTTCCAGTCACGATGGAAAGGTGAGTGATCTGCTGCTGTCTCTGGTCTCTCTGCTTCTGATCCAAAGCCACGGCAGTTCTGACTCCCGCATGCTCTTCCAGAGTCCAGATCTCATCACAGCTGGATCCACAGATGACTTCTGGAGCTTTGATTCATGTGCCGCGTTATTTGGGCAACCTGCTGTTCAGAGTCTGGAAGAAGATGCAGGACATCGTCCAATACAGTGAGTCTGCAGAAGATCTGAGCTCACACACATTCAGTTTATCATGACACAAAAGCACTAGATTATTTCAGTTGTAAGTAAGTGAAGATTATACTACTTAATTCATATTACCCAATATTTTATGAGAATGCTTCATTTCTCTCTTTTTTTTATTCCATCTGCTTAAGTCCATAACACACACAACAGTGTAAAGGTGAAAAGAAATGTGATTCTGACACATGGAAGCCTCTGGAGCACCTCAAATATAATATAGTGCTCAAGAAACTTCAATATGTATTTCAAGTTCCTCAAAGACTTTTCATTAATAAGGTTTTACTAGAGGAACTATTGACAGTCTCTAGAGTCCATGAAGAAAATTCTTGATTTTATAAGCTGAGGCCAGATTCACAACAATAAGAATAACATTTTGTTACTATTATTCTCGGTTTTTAAGAGAAAACTTAAGAAGAGTTAATGTTGAAAAGAATGTTAAAAAGACTCTTCAGGTTGTTATGTTATATATACTGTATACACAAACCTGATTCCAAAAAAGTTCTACGAGTGTGATATTGCGTTTATACAACAGTTTGATGGCACGAGTGTGTAAATAAATTAGAAACAACAATGGAGTGTCTTTAAAAGCCCTCTTTTGTGCAGAACTACTTTCTTCCGCCATAGATTTAAATCTAAAGTTGACCGTTTAACAGCTGAGCCCCAGTCTCCATTACTAATTCCAAAACGTCACTTTAGAGCTAGTAACGAAGGAATGTTGAGTTGCTTCATTGAAAGCTTATTGTATTACTGTAGTAAAAGCTTGCTGTATTATGTAGAGTAAAATATTATGAGAGAGAGAGATGGACTGAGCGAGTGTGATACCTGCATCTGACACAGCATCTCAGTCTCCTACACACAATAAAACATAAGTTTGAATGTCCACTGAGGAAAGCGTTATCTTTGTCGTATCGTCAATATCGTTTCATCTGTTAAGAGTGATTTCTGATGACAGCGCTGCTCAGTGCATTTGTTAGCTGCATCGTTGTTGAAAGTAAAAATAACTTTTGTTTACAAAAGTGAATTTTTCAATGAAAAAGTCTTTACTGCAGTACTGACTCATAAAAACAGTCTCTTGTCACCATCTAATGGCGGAACAATGTAACTATAATCACCATCACGAACACTCACACCATGTCTCGGTAATAAATACTATTATTAAATACTATTAATATTTATATAAAATATTATTTATTGAATAATCATATTTAATAAACAACAACAGCCAGCATAAAATTTTCTAGGCAATCCAGTCAACCGTACAAAGGCAGCATGATATACTGTAGGGCAGGTTATACAGCATTGAATTTACATAAACATGATAAGATTTTGCTAAAACTATTTGCTCTGGAACAAATAATAGTTTAATGAGACCAAAGACTGCCCATTAGATTTACCCAAAACGAATTATATCTCATGTTTAACCATTGTAGAGACATCAGAGCCAGCGGTAAATTCCAGAAGATCTGGCCTCGGTGAGGCACTCTCGGCGGGGGTAATGAGCGCTGAACGGCCGCTGGAGCTCACGTCTCCGAAAACGTCAAAGCAAATTTCCAAACAGACGTTATCTTTATTAACAAACTTATTATTATTTGACGTCCCAGCAAGCACAATCTCGCCTAAAAAAACTCTTAAAACTGCATTTCGTGACACAAAACAGTATTATTTTTAAAACTATCGTGGATTTGGGCGTCCGCCGTGACACTCGCTGTGAGAAATACGGCAACTTCGGCAAGCGGAGTGAAACGGTGAAGAGGTCGAGGAGCACTGTTGGACTCTAATATCGCACTCCGATCAGCCAATCAGATTCGAGAACCAGAAAGAACTGTTGTATAAATATATATATAGGGCCTAAAACTAACTTTTTGCCACACCTGCCAATGGCCGGTGATGCCAAAACATTTTTTTACTGGCCTTTTTGCAAAAACAGGAAGTCATTACTACTAATGACTAAACATATTTACAAAGTTTTTAATTTGTCCTTTACTTACAAGAAGAAAAAAACAAACAGATTGATTGATTTATCTTTTTTTTTGTCCCTAAAAAACGTTGAGATTCTTGTCCTTTGCATGTTTTCGGCAAACGGAGCAGGCCATCGTGTTACACCAGTTTCACACATACTCAGTTTGCAGTGTGTATGTGGTGCATATTTTTTTCCCACACCCATATTAACGGATTAGAGCAGTGCTATTCAATTAACTTCATTTGAGGGCCAGATTATCGAACTGAAAATTTGAAGGGGGCCAAGGGGGTGGGGGCCGTCCCGATCTCTTTCTGGGGGGACCTATAAAATTATGAAATTAATTATTGAAATTAAATTGAAATCTAAAATCTATAAAAGGTTAAGATTAGTGCTGTCTTTCAGTCGATTAAAAAAACAATGAATCACACATTTTTCTGTAGTTAATCATGATTAATCTCATTTTGAACCTCCAAATTAATGTAGAAACAACATAAAGATGGTAAAAAGATGCCATTAAAACATCTCAAATATACTAAGTAGCCTATTATTAATGAAGAATTGATACCAATACTGCCACTAGTGTCTCTATTAAATGCATTTCCCCTCAATTTGACCTATTAATTATAGCCATTCAACATTACAGTATAATTGAAAGCCATTATTTTTAACATTTAATAGGATCTGAAATATTAAGTGATTTTAAAACAATTTTCACATTTTTGAAATTAAATTGAAATCTAAAATCTATAAAAGGTTAAGATTAGTGCTGTCTTTCAATCGATTAAAAAAACAATTAATCACACATTTTTCTGTAGTTAATCATGATTAATCTCATTTTGAACCTCCAAATTAATGTAGAAACAACATAAAGATGGTAAAAAGATGCCATTAAAACATCTAAAATATACTAAGTAGCCTATTATTAATGAAGAATTGATACCAATACTGCCACTAGTGTCTCTATTAAATGCATTTCCCCTCAATTTGACCTATTAATTATAGCCATTCAACATTACAGTATAATTGAAAGCCATTATTTTTAACATTTAATAGGATCTGAAATATTAAGTGATTTTAAAACAATTTTCACATAAATTATTAAGTTGTATACGCATAAACGATACAGATTAATCTTTATTCAAGCTACAAAAGTTAATCAGCGACTAGAGCGGTCGAGTGATTTCTCTTTTTCTTTTATTCTTTAGCAGGTTTTACTTTAAAAGCAGCACTGTCTCTTTAAAACCTGATGATGCGGATCTGACACACATCTTATTTTCTCCAAACTCTTTACGGTCATTTAAGACTTTATAACTCATTTAAGACTACGTTTACGAGGGAACTCGCCAAAACCGCATATTTTGGCATAATTGTGTGTGTTTTCGTCCGTTGAAGCGCTACTGGTGCGCTGTCTAAAGCGGCTCAGTGTATGTGTACAGCCGAACGTAGCCTACTTCTCTGCACTCTTTAGACGGCGTAACCCCATGTTTGTGTCGCCACATTCTCGGGTTATGAAGAATAAAGAAGGGAAAAGTTAATCTTCCGAAATGAAGCAGCAGTATCTTCTCAGGTAAAAGTTATAACCGTGTCTAGGGACAAGCTGGCTATCACACTGCTCTGACCTTATCAGCCCGTTTGTATTCTATTATTTGATTCGCTCTTGTCGCTTATGACAGAACAGCTAATCACGATGATCTTGTCTTCGGAAAAGATTATTTTATTTGCTTACGTCAGAAACAGCTCATCTTTTTCAAAACTGGCTGTTGTTCTCACTATATTGCATTTGTTATATTTCGTAAAAGCTTTACCCGCCAACTGGTGACTGACACTGTTACATATACTCGCCAATGCCGATTTTTACTCTCATTTGGAGCTTGGCGAATGTTAATTTTAGGCCCTGTGTATATATATATATATATATATATATATACTCAGAGCAGCTCTGGAGATGAAGTTTATGAAGTTCACACAGAGACACCCAGAACAGTTAGTGACACACCTGATCATCTACATGGAGAAAAACAAATAGAATCTCAGAAATGTCTAGTAAATCACACAAATATTTACAAATAAATTAAAAACAACGTTTTTACACAACTCAATATTTCGTAAAAGCTTTACCCGCCAACTGGTGACTGACACTGTTACATATACTCGCCAATGCCGATTTTTACTCTCATTTGGAGCTTGGCGAATGTTAATTTTAGGCCCTGTGTATATATATATATATATATATATATATATATAAGATTTTCCACATAATGATTCAAGTACATGTTGTATTAAACAAGCCAACCTCATGAGTAGAATAGTACAATCAGAAAACTTCAAAATCAGACATTATATTCTATTAGAAAATGTTTCCTAAGGAAATTTTTGAGAACTTTTCAAGAACTTCTTTTCAGGAATTGCACTTAAAAACATTCATAAACATCTCAGAATTTATTGTAGCAATTATTTCTTAAGGAGACTTTCAGGAATCTTGCCGTTTTAAAAGGGTTTCTAGAAGAAGTGCTGCTTCATGTATTTCGATTTTTCCAATGAAGAAGCACAACGATGAGCATCTGTTCAGCTAATGATGTGTTTACCAGAAGAACCTGCTTCAAGAACTCACACCACAGAGATTTTAAGCTATCTTACAATATTACAATGATTGATTATTAATGACTAAATCAAACACAACAGACAGTAATTTTTTTTAAACAATCACACACACCAAGAGAAGTAAGAGCCAGTTCAATGAACATGATCAGATTCTGCTATAGATACGGAGTTTCATACACATTTCTTAAAGTTATATTTTTTCATCCACAGCAGAGAATCTCAATGGGTCTGATTGATTGATTCTTATTTTAACCTTCCCAAAATAGCAGTTTTTCTTACTTGCTGGCATTAAACACTGATAATAAAACGGAGTGTGAAACTAATAACAGCACTGACAGTGATCAGAAGGAAATGTCTGACGTGTTTGAAGACATTTGAAAACAAATTCAAATTCATCATTTCACTTTGTATTGAATATGAACATCAGAATAAAAGCATCTGTTAATTGTCTCATCAGCTCCTGTGATTCTGGATCCAAACACTGCAAATCCATCTCTCACTCTATCTGATGATCTGACCAGTGTGAGACGGCGCAACTGTCAACCTCTTCCTGATAATCCAGAGAGATTTGACTGTTATCGCTGTGTTCTGGGTTCAGAGGGCTTTAACTCAGGAACACACTGCTGGGATGTGGAGGTTAAAGACTGTTCAGTCTGGACTCTCGGAGTAACTACAGCATCCAACCAGAGGAAGGGATGGGGTTTCTTCAACACTGATGGTGTCTGGAGTTTGCAGTACAATGTGACTCGACAGACTGGCTTTGCTGTTGGACAGCAGCTTGAGCATGTGCGAGTGAATCTGGACTTTGACGGAGGAACAGTGTCATTCTCTGATCCTCTAACTAACACACATCTACACACATTCACAACCACCTTCACTCACACACTCCTTCCGTTCTTCTGGTGTTCTTCCTCTCTGAGGATCTTACCGGTCAATAGCCAGTGATCGTTACTCTTGTAGGTCTGGATCTTCCTGCTTTCATCACGTTTCAATATTTAATCTAGATCACATGAGTAAGAGTGCTGATGATCTGAATATCAGATCAGAAATGTTTTTTTTTCAGTATTATACCACTGAAAGAGTTAATTCAACACATTTTCAGTTTTGGTTGTTGTTAGAAAACACTCTCTGTCTGTATTGGTTCCAGATGTTTTCCCCCTCCTTTTCTTCTCTTTCCCTCTCTGCTCGCCCTCCCAGTACAGCGCAATGTTGTTTTCTCTGATTTCCCCCTCCTCCATCTGTTCTCTCTCTCTTGTATTATGTTTTAATATCTCTTACTCATATTCGAGGTACGCATGCGCACATGTATGCATTAGCTTTTCTTGGTTCAAATGTTCAAATGAGGACATGATAGCTAGGACTCCAAGGTAATGGGGTTCGTACTGAACTATGGAGATAGTTCAGCATCCTTCGCCAAGTTTATTCCTAATATGTCCATATTTTCCTGTACATGTGGCCATTTTATATAACACATATTCTTGGCCAAAATCCTATATGTATGTCATCTTTATCCTCATCGGTTAAAGGGTTGAAACTCCCCTCGACATATGCCTATATAATATCTTTGTATCTATGAATAAAGTTTAATATTGAGAATACAATTTGATGTGTGTTTTCTTGCTTCCTGGCCGTTATACACTTTAAGGGACTGAGAATTTTCCAGGTGGCAAAGAGAATCTATAGGGACCTTTGTTAATTACTGACAGTGACTAAGAGTCTCATTTAGGACTTAAAGGGGTCATGAACGGAGAAATCAAAATTCCCTTGATCTTTTGACATTCAACAGGTCAATGTATACGGTGACCAGATTTTTCATGGTGGAATATGGGACGGGTGGGCAATATGACCACGATATGAGAAATTTTATTTAATGATATATACAATTGTGCTCAAAATTATTAATACCCTTGGTCAATATGATCAAAGAAGGCTGTGAAAATTAATCTGTATCATCAATCCTTTAGATATTTTAAAATTTTACTAAAATCTGACCTTTCATTGGAGAATAAGAATTTAAAATGGGAGAGAAATCTCAATATGAAATAAATGTTTTTCTCTAATACACATTGGTCACAATTAATCTTTTATCCAATACTTTTTGCAACCTCCTTTTGCCAAGAGAACAGCTCTGAATCTTCACCTATAATGCCTGAAGCATAGGCGTAATTTGCGGTTGGGACGGGTGGGACATGTCCCCACCACTTTTTGCCAGGGTCGATATTGTCCCTAGCACTTTTTGAAAGTAATTGAAAAATATCTTGCGGAAGTTATGTATTAAAGGGAAAACAAGATCAACAAATCATTCTTCATAATCTAAATCATACATGTAACACATTTTTCCGACAGCCAAAAGCTTTTCTATGCCCTCAACAATGAATTATTAAATCTCATTGTGAAAATTATCCCATGACGCATATCGCGTGTCTCGCGATATGCGTCATGGGATATGTAGTTTACTTATAAGTAGTCTACAGATTCCTGCACCTTTCTCTTTGCCATGTTCTTATTGTTTGGGTACTGTTTCAAGGTTGAAATATTTTATTTGAGATTTTGAGAAAATGAATGGGACAATATCTCTGGTACTAAAAAGTGACGACTTCACGATTGCGGTGGATTGACGATTCAGAAGAACGGAAATACCATCTTCCTCAACAATGCAGGTGAGTTCACATGAGGCTCGTCATGGTTATTACAATTCATGCTTATTCAATGTCAAAGCATATATAGCAAAGAGTTACCTGAAAATTAAGTGATAAATAATTCATTTTGTAAACTCTTATTTGATACAGTACCGATTGAGCACGTGAAGTGGTTTATGCATGACGTTAGCTAGCTAATGAGATTATAGTGGTAAGCATCATTAACAGATTCATATAGTTTTGAGAGTAGTAGATGATAGTTAACTTAACCTAAAACTGATAAACTATTTCCTAAGATTAAACTTATGATACAAGGACAACAACTCTTGAGGGTCTAAATACAATGAATCGTCTTTTATTGTTAACTAATGTTTTAATTCTGTAACATCGTTCGTTTTAGTGATCCCGTTTGATGTCAGCCTTACATCTTTTTTTTTCTCAGGATTTTACCTATCACAAGCGTGGACTAAAGAGGTAAGTATGTTATTGTTGTTATTTTATTATTATTATTTATTTCCAATTATATTTACTTTGTAGCATAACCTTAGAGACAAAAATATAATGTTGGTATATAATTTAATTAAATGCTTAAAATACTTAGTATGACAAAATATTGAGCAACAAAGATAGATACTTTTGGTAGAGGTCAACAGTAATCTTGTTTATTAACAATAAATAACATCAATATCAGTTTATGAACACCTCAGAATGAACTGTAATAAGAAATAAAAAGAATATTGTAATGGATGTATAAAAAAAAAACAAGAAAAGAAGCAGAGTGTCAGAGTAGCTACTTTTTAGGTTTAGTTAGCTTTGTCCACTAAAATGAACCAAAGACCTGAGCACGCTTCTCTGAGACCTTAAAAAAAATAAGCCAGGAATTTATTGTGTCTAATTTATTTGTTCTGTCTTTGTGAACATAACAGACAACAACGCTGTTCAAACGGTTCTGGGACATTGTGGAGTGAAGCCATGTCTTCAGGCGCCGGAGAGCATTGAAGCTTCTCTCTGCCTCAGCTGATGATGCAGGAACCACGAGTTCTGTCAGGACCACTATCGTCAAAGATGATTGACAATTAGCATACAGTTTGGATTGGCAGTATGGTTCTGTTCTGGGCAAGAACTCCCTGCGCATCCATGCAGCCTAACATGGATGAGAGCAGGGAGAGCAGCGATAACCCCCCCAGGGTAAACAGAACAGAACCAACATAAATGTATTACAGATATTGTTAAAGTTCAGTAATGTTATGTACACATTTTAGAATTAGTCTGATTCAAAGGAGAATCAGAAGGTTGAATCCTGACTGACAGAGGAGGAGTTGAGCTGGCGTACGCACTGTCCATCTAGTTGGACACAAAGGTTTCAGTGTTGTATAGCAGCCAGATATAGATTTTGCCACAGACTTAAATTTTTTTTTAAATTTGCCTGACTGGCCAAATAAACAGCCCAGCTCATGGATCCATTGCAGAGAATCCCAAATTATTGGTCCGGCTGAACAGGCTGCTGGGGGCCACAATGAACAAAGGTAGCAAGCGGTTGCTCTCTGCGGATGTGAGCTTGTGCACCTGACAAATGCCCAGACATGTTGGCTGCTCCATTGTAGGTTTGACCACGCAGACTGGAAAAGGGAAGGTTTAGACCAGAGGTGACCAAACTTTTTCCTATCAAGGGCCAAAAATCAAACTTAATTGAGGGTCGTGTGCCAAATGTAAACGTTGCCAAACTATAATAAATTAAAATTGCTATGGTTTCCCCTCATTTATTTCATATTTAAAAATAAATAAACAGAAAAACATTACTTTAAAATTAAAACTGCATTAGTTAAGTAAATTACAAAGTTTTATAGAAAACGTAGAAACAAGTAGTTCAATGCCTAATACAGCTTTTAAAGCTATTTTATATTAATGTTTTCTAGTTCACAATTAACTTGTATTACAATGAAAAATTATAAACAAAGTTTTCATTGTAATATAAGTTAATTGTGTACTATAAAACATTAATATAAAATAGCTGCATTAAACTGCATTGTACTGTAAATAAAACAATCTTATTTACCATACAATGCCGTTCAATGCCTAATACAGCTTAAGCTGTAATACCTACCACCAATATGCTTGCAATTTCAGTGAACTCTAATGAGATACATGAAACTGGTCCTTATTTTTCAAACGTTTTTCCAAATTGGGCTGCAGCTGACTTACAGACAAAGTCAGGATATTGTGTAGGTGAGAGTCTGTTAGTTTGCTTCTCAGTTTACACTTGTTCAAGTTCATCAGACTGAAAGTCTGCTCACAGAGGTAGGTACTGCCAAACAGAGACAGCATCACTTGTGCCTGTTTGCACATCTTTGGGTACCTGTTTGCTGGGACACATTTGTAGAAGTCTGTCAAGGGAAGGGACCTGAACTTGTGTTGCAGTTCTGAATCACACTGAAGCTCAATTAGTTCCATCTGAAGATCGTCACTGACTGTGTCCACACTGAGTTGTTTGCTCAACCCTTCACCATCAAAGTCAGTAGCATTCTGTCTTATCATAGCTGTCTGAAGTCCTCAAAGCGACTGTCAAACTCCTGGATAAGGTTGCTGAGAACAGCATCATACTCTGGGACCTCCTCTTTCATCATGTCTGCCTCTCTGAGACAGGGAAAATGGGCTAAATTCCCTGGATGTGCGGTGAGAGAGAGAACGAGAAGGGAACAATGTGAGACTGGGAGTGAAAGAAAAGCAGGCATGTAAAAAGGGAGGCGAACAGAATAAATAACTGACAAAAAGAGGGAAATTAATCTATTAATCCAGTGGTTCTCAAACTTTTTTGGTCACGCCCCCCTTTAAACCTTTCAAAAAAATCCCCCCCTAAAAAACCCCCACCCCACCTCTTGACTAGAAAATAATTTCTCTAAAAACGATAAAAACGTAAACATTTTCTAAATGGAAAAACCTGCAATGAAAAACACCTGCTGCAGTTTCACTGCAGTACCTGTGCGCTCCATTTGAGAACCACTGCATTAATCCATGCTAATTTAAAGGGGTCATATGATGCGATTTCAATTTTTCCTTTCTCTTTGGAGTGTTACAAGCTCTTGGTGCATAAAGAAGATCTGTAAAGTTGCAAAGACTAAAGTCTCAAATCCAAAGATATATTCTTTATAAAAGTTAAGAGTCAACCACACCTACCTAAAATGGCTCGTTCTAACACGCCCCCACATGTCTACGTCACTATGTGGGAAGATTTGCATAACACCGCCCAAATGTTCACGCAAAGAAAGAAAGCGTAACTTTTATTCTCGCTGTAGTATTGTTGTTGCCGCCGCCATGTCGTGAAGGCGCTGTGTGATTCGTTGTGAAAGCGAAACTACTTTGTTTGGTCTTCCAAAAGAGGACGATATCTGCTTCGTCATGCCTGGAGCTGATCCGTGCTGGTCGCTGAGGAAATACTTCAACTTCGTGCTGTCGATTGCCGGATCGGCTTTCACCGTGGACGAAGCAGAGTCCAGCCCGGGGTCCATTCTTGTTTTCCTGAAGAACTCTGATCTCATCATGCAGATCAAAAAATCTCCTGAGAACTTTTCCTCGGCTCAGCCATCTAACCTCCTGGTGGTACAACACATCACCATATTGTGCATC